TGCACCTCAGTGGTAAGGGAGGTGGTTTTGCACCTGAAGATTTTAAAGCAGTTTGGGCCATTTGGAGACAGAAGGCAGTATTGATGTGAAAAGACAGTTATATTTACTGCAAAATCCATTATCCTTGAAAACATGAGTAGTACTTCAAAACAGAGCATGTATTGCATTATGTGAAAACTTGGTCTTGATAGTAGGAGGAATGTTTTCCCAATGATTTCAGGGAGGTGAAGGATTCATCCTACACTGTTCAGGAGCAGTTGAGGCATAAAGGTAACATGCAGCTAATTGGATGCATTGCTATAGGTGCTTGAGAAATATGATAGACAGATGCATGCAAGTAGGGAGCTGAAGTCAATTACAGAGTTAAATTGTAAAAGATTTGACCTGATGTCATTTATATCTCAAGTCCTAATTAACACTTAAAAGTTCAACTCTATGGCAATTTTCTTTTAATAACACTTAGAACCTATATAGAGCTCAAAAGAATTGCTAGGCCTGATGAAAGATGACTTGAGTGGATGCCAGAATTTCAGAGTTGGTAATTAATCCTCAAAACACCTTTGCAAGGCACATGGGTAGCATCATTTCTCTTCAGTTTCTCCTTTGAAGAGAAGTGAGGTTTGCCCGATGCCTCTCCAAAGTCTGTGGCACCTGCATATGAGGATTAAGGATTCTTCAGGTGCTTAAACCGGTGAACACTCAGACTGGCTCACATCTTTTTGTCTTGAGGTATTTTTAAATTCTACCAGAATCTTTAGAAAGAGTATGGACAAATTGCTTGTGTAATGACCTAGGTTTTCCAATTAGAAGGTATGCAAATGCAGAAGAGAAAAAAAGCACAGCTTCTTCTTCTAAGATTTTTATGTGGATGAAATATGAATCTTACTGGGTGAAGAAATGCACTCTTGGACTGAGACCTTGTAAGCTGAGATTCAGTTCACTGCAGGTTTTTATGGTCAAGTTATAACTGCCTGTAAAGCAGGGGTTTAAAATGGAAGTGCTGACAAAACTTTTAAACTACAACAGTGGAAATGGCGCTGCAATAATTTATAATCTACAGGCAGCTTTGGATTTATTATCACAATGACAAATGCACAGTCATTGTTAATAGGATATTTCCCAGCAAGGACTTCTTGTTATGCAAGCCAGGTTCACTATGTCATGCAGCATGATAGCAATAAAGTCTACAAGAATTTGTAATGAACTTCAATTACTAATAGATTATGGTTAATGGGAAATATGTGCAGTAAAGATATGGGTTTTTATATGCGCCTTCTGGTACTCTACAAGGCAATGATTTATGCTACAATTTATGTTAACATTCTCCAGTACGAAAAAAAGCCTAAATTGGTGGAAAGCCACTCCATCCATAACAAACATTTGAGATAATTTTGCACATCATGTAAATGAAGATGTAAAATTAGATATTAATCCATTTCGTTTTAGCATTTGTATTTTTATTAAAAATGAAGACTTTGCCCTACTGTGTAATGACATTAAAAAATCCCATCATGGGCTGCAAGCGTGAATTACACCGATGTAGAAATGGCCACAGCAACCGAGTTGTAAGTGCAATTTGTTCAATTTGCTGCTGTAATTAACAGAGCAGTGAGAATTTTTTTCTATGTATGATTTAAAGTAACAGCCCTGAAGCTGCCGGGGCAGATGTGTTTGATGTGGAGAGGATTCTTTAGAGAGGATCAGCCTTTTCCTCCCCCACTTTTGCTCTCCCCTCAGCCTTCCCCTGTGGCATTGCTCCAAAGCCATGCCTTATCCGCAGGCATCGGACTATTCCCTTCCCTGCACAGCAAACCTCCCGCAGGAATTACTTCAGGAAATAATCACCTGATGCAGCATCAGAGCCACGAGCTCACACTTATCAGAGGGACACAGGCCTGGGTGTTTGCCTGCTATTTCAAAAGAGCGTGGTTCCTCCTCCCTCCAGCTTCTTTCTCCTGTACCTGTAATATAATCTGTATATTCCAGGTTTGTGTGCCATCGAAATGAAAAGAAAAAAGGATGTCTCCCAATTTATAACCAAACACTGTTCAGAACCATCTCTGATGAACGTATACACATGGTGTTAAGGATTGTATTTACTCAGAGACACATTTCTGCAAAATGTTTGCGCTTTATATCTGAAACATGTATTTACCCATGCATGAAGAACTTGCAGGATCATTTCTGGTGTATTTTTAACACAAGTAGCCTGACACTCAGCTTGTTTCAACCAGTCTTATGCTGATTTAAGACCATTGCTTTTGGTGAACTTTGGTATAAACCATATAAATTCACTTTCTAGGGATGTAAGTGAGGGCGGCACATCCTGTTGGCCTTCACATCCACCTGGGACTTTGCAAAGACCAAGGCTGGTCTGAAGCTCTGCTTCTGGCAGAAATTTCTCCTGATTGAGAAAAAGCAGACTTTCTGAGAAGAAAACAATTGATTCAGAGCAGAAAGCCCACAGGTAAGCTCAAATTTGCCGTATAAATCCCAGTCCATGGCGAGGCTGAACTATCCAAACATGCTCTGGAACAGCAGTGTCTCACTGTGCAAGGAGGGGTGTTTCTCGCATGAAAATGTGGTTCTTCGGTCTGTTAGGAAGTTGTTTGAGAGATTTACAAAAATTCCTTTGGTTTTTATAGTCAAATGAGCATAAAATTGTGCTTCCCCACACTCGTTTCCTATTAAATAATACTTACAGTACTTCTTGGAAATGTGTGTGTTACAAATTTAAAATTAAAAGTAATTTATCCCTGAAGGGTGCTCTTTTAATCCAGTTGTCCCCCAGCCCCTTAATGGAAGCAGCTGCATATACAGAATGGAGTTTGCTGGTTTTTTTCCTCCCAGTTTTTTAATGAAATTCTCCTCAGAAGCAACAGGAGTGGCAGAGGACCGCTCTGGTGTGTCTGGTTTTAGATAAAAAAAAATGTTTTTTCTCCAGACTGAGGTGAAAGTACCTTTTCTCCCAGTGCACTCCGCTTTTAAATAAGCCTCATGCAATGCTATGCACCCAGCAAGCACTCCCTCTCCCTGGCCTCTCCCCTTCTGGTTAGAGAAGGGAAGGAGCTCTCACATACATTCACAATGAATCTCCTTTTTTTGTGTGCCTGGGGTTATATCTTTCCTCCAGACCATCTCTGCTGTTCCTCATCTTTCCTACTCTCTCCCAATTTGTCAGATCTAACCTCCTTTCAAAACAACTAAATAGCTTTTTTTCTTGTACTCTTTAACTCTGCCAAACCAGAAAACGACAGGACATTCATGTACACATTGTTGCTCGATTTTGTCGTTGGCTTTTGGGTTTATTGTTTTGGTTCTGGCATTTCTGTGGCTCCCAAAGATATATGTCAGTCCTGTCAGGCTTGATGTGGCAATATTCAGCGGTCACCTCCTTCACATGCACCATTTAGGAGAGGTCACTGACAGCACAAAAGAGCCAAGAAAATAATTGTAACTTTAATTTGTTTCCCATTAGAAACCCATGCAGCAATCTGTCCTAATGAGAGATTTTCTTTCTTTCCCACTTTGACATGTCACTGTAGCAGCTTACAGATATACTGAGGTGTTCTAAGGCAAGAATCTGTAGTGCTGTGTAAACATGGTAACACATTTTGTTCACTGAGAAATCTCATGGAAAGGTTCTAAAATACTTGATCACTAGGAGCAGTGTGTGTTCCAAATAATGCACACTAAAATTAATATAAACAGCTACATTTGCTTGCAAATCACTTCAAGTCTTTAATAGTCTATATTGTGTCAGAAATGCATATGCTAAAGTAAAACATAAATTCTTGCAGCTAAAGCATTACCTAAAGTAAACCATTTCAGCACTGAAACAAAGTCTTTCAATGTCTAAAATCATGCTCTTCCCGTTGAATAAGCCAAGTATCCAGAATATTAAATTCATTCAGGTGACTATATTGTATTCAGCTATGCATTGTGCCTTGTAGAGAGTGTAGCACTTCTTAAAAGCATAAAATCATTTAGCAAAACAAATCCATCAGTAATGAACTGGAGACAGCAGCATATGGAGAAGGGACCAAGGAGGTGAAGCACCTTCTTTCTGACCATCCTACACATTGAAGAGATTTACCTGACATGACCCCACTGAAAACGAAAGTAATCCCACTGAAACCTGTTGGTTTGGCATTGGAGTTTATTTTTACATCTTCCATGCATGGCCCTTGCTGCCAAGCTACTGAAAGGTTGTGACCAGGAGGTTTGTGTGCTTAGCTAAAGATACCAGAAAGCCCTGTGTGAGTAGCTGATTCCTAGCAAAGGCTTTGCATCAGGGCTCATTGGTGAAATCCAGATCTCCAGGATGGTTGTTACCACCGCCGTGCCTCGACCATCTCCATTCACTTTGCTCTTGCAGTGCTGGTATGGATCTGGTCCACAAGTAGCTCTGCAGATGCAACTTCATAAAAATACAGTGAAAATACGGGGGGAGGGAAGCAGTGCCGTTAAATGGAGTTGGCTGTGAAGACAGAACGAGGCAACCATAGCACATGCAGAAGGTATGAAGCCACTTTCACAGCAACTGGAGGTAGGAGTTTTTGGAATCCCAGCAAGCTCAAGAAATCCCACTGAGCAGCCACCCAAATGGTTGGTCATTCTGAGCCTCCACTCTTGCCAGCTGCACTGAGAAGTTTTGTAGAGAGTTTTTAAATGAAACTGTGTGTTGCTCTTGATTATTTCTTAGGAAATGGTCGGGTTTCTGTAGTGACTGGATAAATGGTCCAAGTTACAACTGATTCTAAATATCCATACAATAAAGCACAATTAACTGCTTAATGAGTTACATATTCATAGATTAGTGCAGAATTAATCAGGTATTAAAGCTCACTTATAACAACAGACTTGTTAACAGGCTCCAAAAATTAGGTATCTGTACTGAAGTAAACTGAGCCATTTATAAAATATGAAAAGCTTATTTCAGCTGTTAAAAGCTTGTATCTGATTATTTGCTCTGAATCATGAAGGAAGAAGTGGTTAACTCATGGCTCAACCACTATTGCACTAAGGGTGTTATTAAAAAGCACCTTCCCATCTCTTTCTTCACTGCATTCAGGCTTTCTTAGCTGTTCCATTACTTGATGCTTTAGTTCAGAAGGAGCAGTTTTAGAGAAGTCACAAGTTTCTGTCAGGAAATCCAGCAACAGTTGCCCATCCTTGCTCCCTTCAATAAAGCAGTTTGTTATGTCCAGGTGGGATGGGAGCTCGTGGATCTGGTACTTCAGCCCGGCTGAGTCCAGCATCCTTTTTATGTCATAAGATGAAAGGTAAGTGCAGAGACTTTCTATAGGGAAGGAAGGCCCATACTTCTTCCACAGCGTTTCCCAGCCACTTGTTCCTGAGAGATAAACCACCAGAAAAAAGCTCGGGAGAAAGGAAAAGCACTATTTGAATAAATTTTTGTTCTGTGGGGTTTTTTCACAGTTGACCTTGTTGCAAATGGTACCACTCCAGAATTGGGACATAGGTCCTGGGGCGTGGATCTCCCTGCTTCTGTGCAGGGGTTGGGGGCTGCTGGAGGGGATGGACATGTTACCTACCCCACAGCTCCAGCACTTCCCACCAAGCCCCCAGCTGAGGCTGTAACATCTCAGTACACTTAATCCTCCCCCTTCCACTCCCACCGTGATGCACCCCTCTGCTTCATGAACACAGGCAATATCTCACAGGGACAGCTTTCTATAGCTCACATGTTGAACACTAGCTATTCAGTGCCAGCTTCTTAACTTAATTTATTCCCTAGATTTTCACCTGCTTGTTTGGAAGACCAAATCCTCTCCTATTCTTTCACCTCATGATTTTGTGGTTGAGCTAGACATGAGCTTCATCAAAACAACTTATTACCAGTAAACTGTCTCTCTGCAATGTGAAATACACAGGGTGCAAAACCCTGATCACATTGTCCGTGCAGCTGAATGTGTGGTGGAGAAAAGGGTGAAATGAGGTGACCAAGATGAAGGTGCACCATCCTCCCAGGCTTCAGCCTTCACCTTTACCTGCTGTTGGGCATGGGCAATGAGAAGGATGCCCCTCACCCCAAGCAGATGTCCCCAGTGGTGCCAGGCGGATGTTTGGGCTGGGCACTATCTGGGTGTGCAAAGCTGAAAAGTGAGGAAGGACAAGGCTCCTGTAGCACCACAATCACCTCCAGAACTGAGCCCATGCTGAGCCCATGCTTGTGCATGAGCCTCTTCTCAAGGGATGTTTTACAAATAAAACCAGCTGGATATGCTGAAAATTCACCACATATGTCTTCACATTTTATATTTTCCCCCAGCCTGGATCTCTGATTCAGCATTTGTGCTATAAATCACTTGGAAAAGGATCACCCAGAATGACTGGACAGGATGAAAATAACTTCGAGCCTAATGAGCAGCTCTTGGGAGTTATGACTATAAATCTCCGTAACTACTAAACCCAGTTGCCTGGTGGTTTTGCAAATGCTTTATCTGCAAACAGTTATTTATATTCAAATAAACAGTTTGGTGTTTAGAAGAGAGGCTACAATATTTTCTTTCACCTGGTGGAAATTGAATGCAGAGCACTAATTGCAGAAAATTTGCTGGTGTCAGTGTTGTGTGACTCAGTGCCATCCCTGAGCCGAGTAATTATACACTACCTGAACGCAGCATTATTATAATAGCTCTCAATAGGCTCAGCATATGGCACTACTTTTGTTTTCAAGGCAATGTAAACACATTTTTTAAAAGTGTTAAAAATAACACCGCATAGCTCTTGCAACTTCCCTGCTCTCCCAGCAGGGTCAGAGCCTTCACTGACTGACCAAGCCCTTTCCTATCAATCCTATTCCCAGAACAGCTTTTAATTAACACATCCTAATGTGTTTGTGTTGGAGATATTAGCTTCATTTTCTGAAATGAGCCTTGTTCTGCTTATCTTTTGCTACCTCTTCTTGCTTCAGTGCTCATTTTCACAGAACCATAGAATGGCTTGGGTTGGAAGGGATGTCAAAGATTATCTAATTCCAACTCCCCTTCCATGAGCAGGGACACCTCCCACTAGACCAGGTTCAAAGCCCCATCCAATCTGGCCTTGAACACTTCCAGGGAGGAGTGTCCACAATTTTTCAGGCAACATCCTCCATTTCTTCAACATCTTCACAGGAAAGAATTTCTTCCTAATACCTGATCTAAATCATATAGCACTTCTTCCTTCCCCTCTCTGTATTCTTCTTTCCCCAAGGTTTCCCCCTTCCTTTCCTTTCTCCTATTAAGAGCCCTGCTTCTCTCTCCCATTTTCTTGCTTGCCTCAGCAATTTCAGCACTATTCTGCTTTGTCAGAAAACCTGACCCAGAGAGGACTTCAAATATTTCTCATTAATTCAGATTTTTAATCACATTAGTTTTGAATAGACATGTGTTCCTCCCTGTATTCACATATTGTGAATATCCAAAGGGACAGGTTAAGCAACTGGAAAAGAGCCTCAATTAACTGCAGGTAGTCAGCACTAGTCTGATATTACGATCTATTCTCATTCATCCGAAGAAGAGCAATAACTCAGATCACTTGAAATACAGATTTCTGGTAGTGAACTGCTTAAAAACACTTTAAATTAAAAAATGTTTTGGAAAAAACCAGTTTAAATAAATTTGGATCAGAGAAGTGTCATCTTGTTGTGGACACTTCATGAACATACAAAAGGAACTTCATCAAAATATTACAGTTTGTAGATATGGCCAAATTATAAGAAAAAGAAAAAGCTTAAACCTCTGAACAAATAACACTTAACATCTCTGACAAAACTATCAGGTGTGACTGTTTGCACAATTAAAATTTTCACAGCTTGTGAAGCAATTTAAAGGCTTTGTAGAGTCAAATTAAACCTCACCATTGCAGTATCTCTAGCATACCTTGCCCACAGCATTAAAAGGTCATTGTTTACTCTGCTCTGCGACTTCCTGCTGGATTGACCACAGAGCATCTCTGAAACAGCCTAAGAAAGCTGTTTTCCACCCAGAATGATGATATTAAGGAAATGGGCAGTTTCAGAAGAAAATGAACCATATGTGCTCTAACACCTGCTGTATGGCACAGCTGAGCCCTGTCATAGCTGTTTGCTTAATGCTGCAAGTCTCCGAGAGTAAGATAATGCGGTGTCCAGCCTGAAAAGCCTTTTACAGAAGACAGCAGAGGCTAAAGTAGCTCTGGCAAGTGAGAGCCACAGGACAGAGCCTTTCACCTGCTTCATTCAGGGCTCTCCGCTGCCCTCCGTCATTGGCCAGGCTGTAGGATGGGGAAGGGCAAAGGGCAAGAGAAAGGTGTTATGTGTCCATGGCATGGAGTTGCTGGTTCACAAAACCTTCAGCTCTACAGCCTGCAGCATGGAGCTGTGCCAATATAGACAGCGTGCAGTTTTTAATGGATGTAGGTGAGTGGATTCCATTTATTATCAAGCCAGTACACCTTTCTAGGTGATAAAGGATGTTTTAAATAAAATTGTGCATTGGTTTCTAGCTGGCCTGTGCTGAAGTTGAAGGAACCCCAAAGGCCCTTACGGGTCTTGCCTGACCAAGCAACGCTGGTGGAACAGCTCTCACCTGACACCACGATAATGAGGAGCTTCGCCTGCTTTTCCAAGAGGCTGTGGAAATACCGGATAGTCGCTGGGATGTCTTTTACATAATACAGCACCTGGAAAGAGCAGAGATGCTTACAGAGATACAGCGCAGTCCTGGAGAATATTGTAACTGTAAAAGGTAAAAGGAACAAATGGGGGCAATCTTGACAGAAGAGCAGCGGGACAACAAGACACGTCAGCACAACGGCAGGCAGTGGGCTCTGCTTCGAGTTTGGGGCTGTCTCTGGCTTGACACTTGTTCACTGGCTCTTCCAGGACCAAGCTCATTCATTAACCTGAGATAAAGAGCTTTGCCTGTGTTAGCACTGAAGATGGCTTGTAATGACTTCCATAAACTTGGAAATACACACACAGTTTCACGGAAAGGACAAGGAGCTTTGAAAACACTACTTGAAATGTATTTCTCATTGAGTGCCACCCACAGCCTGGTTAACAGGACTACTGTGCTCAAAGTTGCTTTGCTGTAACTCATCTTTCATTTCTGCAGTTCACTTATGCTTAAGTATTTTAAATTGCAGGGAAATAAACTCACCTTTCTTCCCCTTAGAGTGGATAATGAGGTCAGATACTTCATGCATACTTGTAAGAGCCAAGTCTTTGACAACATTTACTTTGCATTGACTTTTACCTGGATCATATGAATGAAATCACATTTTTTAGACTTCTTTTCTGCATTCATTCGATTTTGATATTCGGTAGCTGTCTCCTCATGCCATGTCAAGTTTACGTTTTTGAGGTTTGATGCCGCAGCCACATGCTCTGAAACACAGGAAAAGGCAGGACAGAATTATCTCAATTGCAAATACAGGACCAATTTCTATTCAGAGCTTTAATACATCCAAAAGTCATATTTAGGTAGAGAATTTTGGTACCAGTGTAACACAGCAGTGGAGTATTTAGAACCTTGAGCCCGTATGTCAAATGGGAGCTGTAAAGGTCTTTGTAGGATGAAGTCATAAGATGGTCTGATGCTCTTCCTTTGCACCCTTACTTGGGATCCTCTAGTCTTTACCCAATATAAAAAAAAAATAAAAATCCCCATGGCTGGCTCAAGCTGTTGCCTGAGATAAACAGTTGTGAGACCATGAGCCGAACTTTTCATGCCAAATGGGAGAAGAGCTGATGCCCCCTTCATTTAGGTGACATGCAAGACCCACATGGCTGAGCAGAAGCCAGGCCATGGCAAAGGATTTTCCAGAGACTGAATAAATAAATACAGGGGCTCAAGGATGGATGAAAGGTTCTTTGTATTTTGGAGAGAAGCAAAAAAAAAAAAAGGCTTTAGGAAGGCAGAGAACTCAAATAGCACAGTCTGGGAATGTTTCACAGAGATGATGGGAGAGGGAAGAAGCAAGGACCCATCTCTTGACATTTGGCTTCTGTTGTGTTCAGTTAATTTTCCAAAAGTCCAGAGTTTTGGCCAACTGCTTCAGGTAAAAGAGATAATAGCATTTTAAAGCAAAGACCAATGCAAAGAGTGACACATGACATGTTTTAGTCCTTGATACAATGCACATCCAGGAATTAAGAAAGCTGGAGAAGTGGATTTAAGGAATATGTTGTATCAAGGACCTGGCTCATTGTTGCATTTATTTGTTTTTTATGGGAGCAAAACTGAGAGATAATTTCATAATTTAGGCAATGCTGGAATACTAATGTCCATCTGCTGGCATATGGAGCTCATCTCACTGTGCTTCTGCCTGGCGCTCAGGATTGCTTCAGGACAAAGTTAGCCCTGATGTGATTCCTTTGCTTCACTGGAGTTAACATAAATTTTAAACTTAAATGGCCCAAAGGCAGACTGATCCTTAGCTACAGAACACATGTTCAAAACAACATGATTTGCTAAGACCAGCGCCTTTACACCATTAATCACAAATTTTCTCCTTTCAGGCTCTGATTAGGACATATCCCCTTTGGAGAGATGAGAAATTCTCTATTAGTGCGTATCTCCTCTCTTTTATGGCTGGAAATGGGCCATCCCTTTTTGGATGCCACTGCTGTTGTTCTGTTCACTTCCACTTACCAGCCACTGGCCCCAGTGCTTGCAGTTCAGATTTAATTTGCTGTTTTAAACTCAGGCTTCATTCAGCAACAGTTCACACCACTATCACAAGTAATCTGGTTCAGTCTGGTTCAATTTGATTGCTAGGCAGTCTGCAAGGAGGCACTAGGAAGAAAATTGAATTGTTTGCCACACTGGGCTTTTAAAGACAAAATTTCAGAAAGAGCAAGCTCATTCTGATTATGGGAACTTTCTGCCCAAAGATTCTTCTGAAACCAAAATGTGTCACCCTAACCATTCTGCAAAGTTGTCCTTAATTTACTGCTGGGTTCAGCCCAGATTGTTGTCTGGATCTGAAGCTGGTTGGTTGCCCTTGACAGGTGCCATCAAAGCTGAACTGCCTATAGTTGTGCCATGCTGTGCAGGTAATGGCAACACAGCTCAGTTCTGGGGCTGCCAACACTCCAGCCATCATCACCAAGAGACTTCAGCTGGACATGGACCAAGAATGAATGAAAAACACACCTTGGTTGACCTTGGGGCTTTGAGGAGATCTCTGACGTACAATGCAGCCTAAGAGAAACCTCAGTATGTCATCACTTCACATCCTAGTATGAAGTTTCTCTTATGAGCTTAGCTTCCCTTTCCCAAGGAGAAAGTATCCGGTTAGGCAGAACACGTAAGTATGGAATCCTCAGAGACACAGATAATGTTTCCAATTCTCCCCGGAAAATATTAGGGCTCAGAAACCTAATTAATGATACCTACTGGGGACATGATTAATTACCAAATAAGAAAGTTTAAAGAAAGAAATTCAGATGAATATTTTATTTCAAGTTTAGCGTAAAACTTCAAATAAGGACAACATCTTATATTTTCTTTAACTTTCTTCTGGAAAGAAACATGCTTAAAGTAGGATAGGACTGCCAGATAACTGGTGGCAGGTGGTGGGACCACTAGGAAGATTCAGTGCAAATTCAGTCCCGCATAACCGTAGAGCGCAGCCCAGACAGAACAGGAATGCTAAATGCAGGTGCCCGGACTCTGTTATAAACTTAGCAGATGCTCTGTTACCCATCCTTCACCATCTCTACCTGGAGCAATGTAAAAGCTCCTGTGATTTTCATGAGGCATCTTTCCAAAGATAAAGTCTGTGTAATAGAGAGACAGATATAAAAAAGTTTCCTGGGAGCCTTTGGTGCTCCCAGTGACTTTGAACTCCCTCACTGAAGGGAGAAAGGGACTGTTAGTATATATTTTTTTTCCTTTGACTTCCACAATTTGCTTCATACTGGGAATGCTTTGTTTTTAAGGACCTAAGGAAGAGTAAGAACTGGATATTTACAGTGTGGTTTTGCAGTCTGGAGTTTACTATGGTTTGGAGCATTTCCAACAACACAGACTGCTGACGCGGTTCATTCATTACTGCCACATCCATTCAGCTTTCTGGCAAGGTGTGCTCTGCTCGGGGCTGCTCACAGCCTCTGTGATGTAGCTGGTGTCACCTCCATACATAATTACCTACTAAGGTAAAGCATGGTAGGTGTTAATCCCTGTGGATTGATATTTAATCCTTGCTTTATATGGAAATTTGACCAAAGCTCCCTTGTTAACATTCAGTCCTCCATGGGAAACGCATGAACGTTGCTCAGTCCTTTGGGCTGGTGGAAGGAAACAAGCTCTAAGCCACAGAGCATGCAGCAAAAATCTTCCTATCTGCCTTGCTTTCCTTTCTATGTTTTGTAATTCAAAGGATGGTAACTAATTTAGTGCAACGCTGTGAGGTTTAGCTATTCATTATTTGGAAATGATTTTTAAGATATGCAAGAATTACCATGAGACACTAAAATTTTCCGTTTGATGTTAAGGAAGGATCCTGATTCAATGCAAGTTGAGGGAGAAAAGCTTCCTGAACTGTGGGGATTTTACTCTATTCCCATACAATCATCCCACCTTGTTTAGCTTTTAAAGTCTGTCTAGCCCAAGCATTTGCCACACAGAGCTCTATGCAGTGTGAGACACTAAAATTTTTATGAGACTGAACAATGTTGAAAAGCAATGTTAGCCAAAAAAAAGCCATAAAAAAACTTTAAAGAGCCAGTTCTGACAAGAAAGCATTTGAATGTGGGGTCATTCAGCATATAATGCATTTAGCATACTTAATGTAGATTTAATTTATTTAATGTAAAAATACCTTTGTACTTGACGATTTGGTCAGCAGCTGGCTCTATCACTTCATTGTTGATGGTGACCCCTGGATATCTGGCTTGTATTTTTGAGAGGATCTGCAGGTCAATCTCACCTAGGGAAGCAACATGAAATACAAGATGAAAGCAAAGCTCAGGCACATGTTGTCTCCACCATCATCACATCCCTAGTTTTGAAGACTGGTGCCTGCCATTCATGAACAGAAAATGTACCACACAGGTACATGCAGCTATTTTGTATTCTCAGCAGATTGCCGCTGAAGGTTTAGCTGTAGGATTCGAGAAGAATTTGAATATTGGGCCCAACTATGTCCATTCCTGTTTTGTGACTACCACCATCAGTGCCAAGGGAAAACCAGATATATTCATGCACACAGCTTGACCTCATATTTTCTGGATGTGACCTAACCTCCTGGGCAAGATCCTTAAGGACTCTGACAGTACCAGTTCTGATGGTCCTAATTCACTGGTGAACATGGCAGGATTTCTTAGGAGTCAGTAAAGGCATTTTTAGCTTCACTGGTTACCAGAATATGTGTTTACACTGGACTCAGAAACAACATTGATATCTGTTTGTCTTTAGTGTCCTGTGACTTTTTCCATAAGTACAGCGAACAGTGCACACACCATTGTGTTTATCTAATCCTCGTTTACACTATAACCTTGAGCTGACTGTATTTTATTTTGTGAGGACTAGTTCTCTCTGGACACCTCACCCCACCTGCAATATAGCAAGATCAGGGACATGATGTTCCTGACTGAGGCATGCGTGGCTCCAGGGACAATATCACACTGGCTTGCTTAGCTTCCTTAGAGTCACTTCTCCCTTTTGTGCTTGAATAAATTTTAGGTGGAAAATATTTTAGAAGAATAAGTTAAGGTAGAAGGAGTGAAGCAGAGGGTAACTGTGGTGAATAATAGGGATTGTGTTACAGACAAATATTGAGCTTTTACCCTGAAAGACATACCTGTGGTTGCTCACAACTCCATGTTATAAAATTCCCTACAAATGAACAAAACTGTGTATTGAATGAGGATCATCCAGCAAAGCCTGATGGCCAGATAGACCCTTGCTGAGGGAGGGCCCCCACTGTACTTGCATGAGCTCTGCCCACCCTTATGATTTTCAGTGCCCATGGACTCCTGTCACTTCAGCCTTAGCTCCGTTACACAGAAGATTCAAGATACAAAAGAAAAATATTGGGGATTAAAGAGCCATAATGTGTTCCCCAGAGCACAACCCAGCACAACAGGTCGTCCCCAAAAGAGTCCTTTTCACTATGAAGAGCTCTCTGTCTGCTTCTGCCCCCATCACACAGCACGACGGGCCAAAATCAGGTGCCCCAGCCCAGGTCTCACCAGTTTGTTAATTCCCTGAGAATTTTGCATAAAAACTGAGGAAGTGTTCCATTTTTTCAGACTTAACATGTCTTTCTTAAAGCAACTAATAACACCAGAATTTATGTGACATCTATGCAAGCACATTCTTTCAGGTAGGAAAATTCAATTTCTGAAGCAGCAAAAATAGCTGTGGCTTTGCTATCACTGCAAACCTTGTATTCTGTTGAAAAATCAGAGCAAAGCCAGCTGTCTGCAGGCTGCCATGGTAAAATTTAGGAACACAGAATTTGTAATGAACTACTGCAACTTTTTGATTTTTGGTTGCTTTACCAAATTCCTGTAAAATGGATTAGCCCTTTGAAAAGACTATGCAGGTCTTGATTAAAAAAAAAAATAATTGAATATTGCATTTCCATATGCGGATAGGTTAATATATTCCCTTCCACTCTTCTATGGCCAAACCACCCTTGTATTGTTTTTAACAAAAAAACCCACCCCTTTGTTTCATAATTTAATCCACAGCCTTAATTGACTTCAGTTAGCTCTTTTATATGCAAACAAGTGTCCTGAGGCATTTTACAGTCAAATCTGTGGCAGCTTGCATTATCAACAATTTGGCAATTAGGCTATTGGAATTATTTAAACTCTCCAACACAATTACCTTTTAAAGGCTACCACTATGTTCACCATTAAGTTTCTAATTAAACATTTTACGTAACGGGATAGTTTATAGCGCAGTTGCTACTTTATAGCAGCGTTGATGGCTTTTATGGTTTTTAAAGGTACAGAGTGCTGCGCGCTGGAGTGTGAACTTAATAAGGCAGAAGCTGTAGGCGAAGGCAGGCACTGTAGATGGGCGAGTGTAATGGGATATGATGCTACATTAACTGGTTTGCTTGTCTCTCGAGGTGGAAAAGTGGGGAGGAAAGGCTTTCCTTCCGTGGTCCCTCCCTGTAAAGCTCATGGGTGGATGGGGGTAAGGGCAGCAGCTCCATTGCTGCCCTTCAACAGCAGCCAGGGTTAGCTGGGGGGATTCGGGAATTTGCTCCCTCCGGACCTCCCAAGCACACCCGGTGGGAACAAGCCAGCAAGGATTTTGGTGATTTGGGGATTTTTTCTTTGCCTGCACGTTATTGATTGAATGTGCCTCATGCTAAACTGGAGTTAAGTACCTCACTAAGTAAAGTGTTCCTGTTAAAAACATCATTTTTCTTTTTGGCAGAAGAATGGTTTCCTTTGTGTGAAGAGTACTATTGCTACTCTGTCACACTGTCTGTTTTATAACTCACGTCCAACATTTACATACAAATATTTTTACTTACCAAGAGAGATTGACAAAACTGAGATTTTTCTTTGGAGATGTTGTGGCTAAGGTATTTAAACTAAATTAACTGTTCATATAAAATTTAAGTTTGATGACTTAATGGGCAGAGCAGTTAGAAAACATAGTCTTTAATTATGGGGGAACTTAAGCAAGAATTTAATGAGAAGAAGCCACTTGATGTTATTGGTATTGTTTTTCCACCCACTGAGCTACAGATAAAAGACTTCTTTCTTCTGGAGCTTTTTTTTCAGCTCCAGTGTTTTGGGGGACAGCAGCTCCAGAAGGGGCTTGTGCATTGCCCGTGGTCAGCAAGTAAGAACAAAACAGAGGTCAGCCAAGGCTGTCATGTAGCAGGGCAGGATGCAACAGAGGTGGGGAGTTACCACCTCAGTCAGTAGCTGCAGGGAAGAATAACTGCAATGCAAGTAAAAATATAATATTCTGAGGAATCTAAGACATTTTGTTGCTCTTTGTTTTTTTAGGGTTTTGGTTTTTTTTTTTGTTTTGTGTGGGGTTTTTTTGCATAGAAACATTACAGGACAGTTTAAGCCTCCCTCTGCCCTTAAGGGGTGATGGAGCAGAAGGAGGTTTCTCAGGGAGGATGTACAAGAATCAGAGTAGGGAGGCACAAGCTGCTTTCAGATGATGTGGCCACACACCAGCTAATGCCATCTGCTCCTGGAGCTGGCTTTACCAGAAAGGATAACTCCACTTCTTTCTGCAATTTGTAATCCTCTATTCTTTGACAAAAAAAAAGGGAAAAGCATGTCAATATTCAAGTTCATTAGCATACCTGATCCACCGCCAACACTTAGAACATTGATTGTAGACTTCCCGTTTCCAATACTGAAAGACATTATTTGTATATTTTAGGAGAACTACCCAGTAGAGACAGTTATGTCCATTTTGCAAAGCACTGGAGATCCCATGAAGACTAAAATCTGCAGGACAAAATCAAATGCAATGTGTGCATGTATAGGCATGCCTGCAAGCTGGCAGGAAGGTTCAGACTCAGAACTCTGCTCTTTGGCGATTCCCAATTTCCAGTTATTTTGGCGATTTGTAGAGGAGTTCTGCTTTTATTACAAGTGTATACAAGCAGCAGCAGATACGTACCTTCTTCAAGGATCAGAGACCTCTCTGGGTCTAGACCAGCAGCTTAAAAATTATTTGAAGAAATTCTGCCTTTTTTAAAATGGGGAGGAAGAGGGGAAAGTGTTAACAACTTTAAACTCCCCTAGTGAGGCTTTGGCAGAGCCGTGAAGCCCTGAGCCCAGAGAGGGGCCTCCCCAGAACGAGGATTTGACTCCAGCTGCCTGCCCTGAAAGCAAGGGGGTCCAGGAAAAATCACACACCCACACACAAAGCAGGAGCATTATTTACACACACTAGAGAGAGCCTAAATGCTAACTGAAATACTACTTTCAAAAAGATGCTTTCAATCAAATTTAATGTTAGAATATAGTATCCATCATTGCATTTTTCACATGTTAGCTGATTTAGGGTAAGAAGCATTTGCATGCAAGGAGACAATTCAGCTTTATCTCCTCCCTGTGCTCGGCAGGCTCCGTCCTGAAGAGCAGCCATGCAGCGGTGTGTGGAAATGAAATCTCCAGCCAAGCCCTATCAGACGCCTACAGATGGGGTGGTTGGCGGGCAAAAGCAATCTGCCTCTCGCAGGCAGCCCCCCGAGCCTGTCGTCGCCACGGGACCATGCCCAGGGCTGTCCTTCAGCTCCGTGTGGCCACCCCCATGTTACCTCGATACCACAGATGGCAGCTGCTTCTGTATGAACTCCTGCATGCTCTGGTGCTCAGTTGAATTCGCAAGGAAGATACGGAAAGACTGGAGATATCTGGAGGGGTCCGAGGGCAAACCTTTCATGGGTGATGCCATGCTGGGGGTCGGAAGGGTGCAGGAGGGGACAGGTTGCTCCTTGCAGCTCTTCTTTCAGACCTAGAGAAGGAATAACAAATGCTGGAGAGTTAAAAAACAGCGTGCTCTTGGACTTTGTTCCATGTCCTCGGTCCTGCTACTGTGACTTAGAGCACTTAAAAAAGTATTATGCAATTCTGCAATAGAAGCGGTAAATCGGGTCTGAGCTGCAAAGGGTAATATATCATCTTTAGTCTGCGCAGAGGAAGTGCCAGCATTTTTTAACTGTGCTGACACAGGGCTCTGTTAAAACCCAGTAAAAGGCTCTTTAGATGATTCTTAAACAAAAGACAAATTCCTCTATTTCTTGAAGGCATGGGAAGGCTCCAAAGACTTGGTCTGGATTAGAAGAAAGTGCAACACACATCTCCAGAGATGCTGGCAGATCTCTTTATCTGTTTTTTTGATCTTTTGATGTTCTTAACGGGAATGTTGATGGTGGGGTGAAAACGATAAAAACCTTATAAATGCACTCTTTATTTTTCTAGTTCCTCTGAAGATAATGGTATGATTCCCATGGGCTAAAAAGTTAATTCATGAAAGCCACGTGAGCTACTGGAATGGATGTTGTGATAAACCTGTCTTACAGAATCAGGAGTGGGGGAGATAGAGTTTTCTAATGGGAAATGTTGGGCTGTTTCTTGAAAAATGCACAAAGACATTAATCCCCTCTTAAACTGCAATTTAAGTCTATCGTGTCTTCTCCTAACTGACAAGGAGATAAAGCAACCCTCCTCCTCCTTGCACGTCCCATGCTTAAGGACCATATGGCATCTCTCCAGCGTCTCTTACCATCTTCTCTGTCTTTTCTGCAGAGGTTAATTCCCAGCTGCCTCTTGTTATTTCTATTGCTGTCTTTGGACTGTCCCCAGCCAAGCTTTGTTGCTGTTAATGTGCAGCAGCCAAGGACGAAAGCCACCCACCCACTGCCTTCTGACTCCCAGTGCAGCTGGGATGGCTTCCCTCGCCCCACGAAGATCCCAGACTGCTTGCCTTCTGTTGTTGTTTGACCCCAGCCAGTAACTAAGCACTATGTAGCCACTCACTCACTCGGAAAAAAAAAAGTAAAACTTGTAAGTTGAGGTAAGAACAGTTTAATAATCAAAATAAAATGTAACATAATAATAATAATTGTAATGAAAAGGAAGATAACAAAAAGAAACAAAGTCCAAGGTAGATATGTGACACATAATGCAATTGCTCCCCACCCTCTGGCCGATGCCCAGCGAGTCCCTGAGCAGTGATTGGCTCCTCCCGGTCAACTCCTCCTAGTTCATGTACTGGGCATGATGCCAGCTGCCCTGGATGTGCTCACTCCTAGCTTCTTGTGCAACTGCTCTTTGGCTGAGCACAGGAAACTGAGAAGCCCCTGTCAGGATAAGTGCTACTTGGCAACAACTAAAACATTAGCGTGCTATCCACATTATTCTCATACTAAATCAAAAATAAAGCACTGTACCAGCTACTAGGAAGAAAAATAACTCTGTCTCACCTGAAACCAGGACACATTTGCTCAACAGCATGATTATAGGAATACAACCACAGGCTTTTTCACAGAATCACAAAATCACAGAATTGTTGAGACTGGAAAAGACCTCTAAGATCACCAAGTCCAGCCCATGTCCCAACACCACCACATGGGCCAGACCACGGCACTAAGTGCCACATCCAGCCTCTCCTTAAACCCTTCAGGGACGGTGACTCCACCACTTCCCTGGGCAGAGCATCCCAGTGCCTAAGCACCCTCTGCGAGAGGAAGGGCTGCCTGAGACCCAACCTGAACCTCCTCTGACACAGTTTCAGGCCAGGCCCTCTCGGCCTGTCACTGGTTGCCTGGGAGTAGAGCCCAACCCCCCCGACTGCAACCTCCCTGCAGGGAGTTGTGGAGAGTGAGAAGGTGCCCCCTGAGTCTCCTCTTCTCCAGCTGAACACCCCCAGCTCCCTCAGCCTCTCCTCACAGGACTTTCCCTCCAGTCCCTTCCCCAGCCTCATTGCTCTCCTCAGGACCTGCTCCAGGACCTTTTCCAGACTACTCTTGTCCCGTTGGATTGTAATTCTCTCTTCTGTTGCACTCAAGTCCCGCCCAGCTGCACATCAAATAACAGTCTTGTCCCTCCTCCAGATCATAAAGAGAAACACAAAAGAGTAGTGGTCTCAGGTTCATGCTCATCATTATCTGCCTTTCTGGCAGTGGACTGATAATAACTTTTTTTACGAACTGTGCAACCAGTTTTCCATGCATCCTTGTCAAGACCATGTCTTCCTCACTTGTGAGCAAGTCATGTAACAAGCTGCCAACCCTGAAGGCTCTGTACAGGAGCATCTCCTTCTCCCCTGTACACAAAGACTGTTACACTGCTGGCAGAAAGATGTGCTTGGCAGTTTCTCCCTGACATCTCCACATTGCCTGGCCATCACCTTATTCTCTTTCTGGTGCTCACTCCTCCTTGAAGGGTCATTTCTAGGGACAGTCATCATGCTGAGCAGCTGCTATTCCCCAGCTCCTCCTTTCAATGATAGCATAAGCTGCTTGGGTTTTCCCACTTTCCTTTGCAGCTCATGCCAAAGTTAACGTCCAAGTTGTAACATCTTTTGGTTTTGTATCCCATGAGACACAGATCTACACGTCCCAAAAGCTCCTGCATGAAGATGGTGAGGATTGGTCGCAGTGCACCTCCTCCAGAGCATTCTGCTGTCAGAACCATTACATCAGTTAGCAGTGCCTGCTAATTGCTGTCCTCAGTGCAGTCCTGAACACCAGTGGTGACCTCCATAGCACAATCCAAGGTGTGATTTTATACCAATATCACTGCCGAGGCAGACCTGGCTTTTGGCAAGCTTCCTGTTCACTACCCTCTCAGACAGAAAGGATGCTTTCAAGGGAAAAAAAGAGCAAATCCGAGTATGTCGAAAAGCCATTTTAAAAAAAAAAAAAAAAGCCTGGTAAGGAGTAGATGTAAGAGCTTTAAAAACTTCACTGGGTCCCGGATGCCCATGAGGGCTGGTCAGAGTGGCATGAGAATGTGAAGGTGCCCCCAGTCTCTGAGCTCACCCCCGCTGCCACCTGCTTCAGTGGGACTGGTGCTGACAGATAAGAAGCGCAATGTGGCTCATGCGTTAGACAGACAGACCAAAAAATTGCAGCTGCATTGACTCTACTAGGTAGAGGACCATGTTTCAGGCTCACAGGGTGGTATCTGCCTCTCACGCTGCCCACCTGGCTCAGCATCAGCCTCGGGCCAACAACCCCTCCTTTTCCCAGATGACCAGCACTCAATTCCCCAGAAAAATCTGAATTAACCCAGGGGAACCAAGTATGAATTTTGTCAATGTAAGGAAGTGAATGCCCGCATATACCTCGGGAGACAGTTACTCACTGCTAACCCAGCCTGAGAATAAAATGGTATATTCCTTGTTTACACATTCCTCTGCTCTGCCCAATTCTTCGCTTTTTACTTTAAGTGCATAAAGAGGCTTTGCCATTTGCCACTATTATAAAAAATATTTTGCAATTTATAAGAGGAGGTTTAGATAATTGACCTTTTTTCTATGCCTTCCTCTACTTCTCATGATTTTATTTGCCCACATCCCTTGCTCGGCAGTCTCTAATGAGCAGCCGAGATTCATTTTCATGTTAGGCGCAGTTCGAAGAATTTGTCTCATTTGTTTCATTACGCTTTTGGCTGTTTGAATTTGCCCCATTCATTCCATTATGTGTTTTGCTGTTTAAATTGCAGCCAGTTAACTTTAAAAAGTAGTAAAGAGAAGAAAGAAAAGGACTTTTTTCTGAATCAATCTGATAGAGACTTTTGGGTAATAATGTTCATTTGAGCATGTTCCCTTCGCAGATAATCCAAATTTTTACGCAGCTCCCTGAAGAGATCAAGAAGTTTCAAAACAGACTCTGGGTTTACACTACAGTTACTTGATCCACCCCCTGTTTACACCGGTGCTAGCAGAATTAAACCTGCTTTAAACTCACCATAAAACCCTTTAAACCTTCCCTGAGAAGCCAGAAAATGAGGCAAGCATGCCCTTGGCTGTAAACTGTTTGCAAGAGGAAGCTTGGCCTTATTACCACAGGATTAGGTTTGTCGCTGAATGCCAGCAGAATGGGGGTCCCCCTTGGAGGAATTTAACGCAACGTGCTCGTGCTAGCTTGCAGGCAGCCCTACTTACATGCGAGTGGTCCGTGCTCCCCACAGCGCGATGCCGCTGCGCCGCTGGGGACATGCTCTTTCCCGGCAGTTACTGCCACGTCTCACCCCCGGGTCCACGATGTGGCAGCTCGGAGGAGATTTTGCTGCCCGAAAAAGGAGTGGACGACATTGTAACCTTGTGGGGACAGCAGCTGCCTGCAGGTTAAACCCTGCCCGCTGTGTCCAGCCGGCACCCGCTGCGTGGTCCCTACGAGCTCTCCCCTCAGGACACTCCTGGCACAGCCACCAGCACCCCGGGAGCATTTAGACACGGAGCTTTAGCGAGGCGCCAGTTTGAGTCCAGATGAAAAATAAAGCCCTGCCACTGGTATATAAGAAATACAACTCTTGATAAATAGGAACTAGTTGTCTCAGCGTGTGGCACGCAGCAACGTACAGTTTCATTTACAGTTTTCCTACAGAAGCCTACAGTTACAGACTACTTTGCTTTTTAGTTTGTTTTCTTGCCAGCAGCCGAAATTTTGCTTATCCCTTATTTTCCAGGGCTTTAGCAATGAGGATTTTCCAAATTTTGTGCACCCTCCACAACCCTGTTAGGAGCAGCAGGGAACACAAGCCCAGAAAAAAGCACTGACCCATATCTGCTATTGCACTGCATTTTGGTGTTCAGAGCCTTAATAAAATATTTCAGTATGTCTCTCAAATTATTTGTTTTTTCTTCATGTTTAGTGAGAAGGAGTTTATTTGAAAGTTTTTGCACCCTCTACAACCCTGTTAGGAGCAGCTTTACCCCAGGGAACA